CCCGTCGGGGCCTTTAGCCCCTCCGTCGGGCAGGTCCTGGCGCCACCCCTGCTACACATCACTCCGATGTACAACTTGGGTGGGCCACTTATGGCATTGAGATGACAGCTCAATATAGCAATAGACATATAATAACAAAATACAGCCACTGCCATTACTTGAGACAATTATCGTGGCCATAATATTTTCATAGTTTATCGATACATTATATGTGAACGAATTTAAAATTATGTTCTCGTTTATAATTACAGACTGAAATACCGAACAATATGGAACAACTTTATGATTGTTATTGTTGGAGTCGCTGTAGTTTATTTTAAGAGCACAACGCAGAGTTATAGCATTTCCAATGTTTACACTGCAAAGTAACAATCGGTAATTGTTTGTGTTAAACTATGTAGGTGGTTTTGGAAAAAAACATTGTTGAGACACTTTCAACAACAACGGCTCTTTTCATAACGGCCAACAAGGTGTACTGTAAACATTTAGTGTGATGGTAATTTTGTATTTATGGCTGTAAACTGTATTGATGTTGGGAAGGCTACTACTACTTAAACCAGCCAGTCATTTTAAAGATGCAATCTGCTATAGAGCATAAACGGAGTCGAGTCTCAATGCGCTGTTAAATAAAAAGTTAAAAAAAAAAAAAAATGTGTTTTTAGACGGTTTAGACATGTTGCGAGAAGGGGAATTGCGAACTTCAAGAGGCAGGGAATTCCATAGTAATGTCGCAGCAACAGAAAATGCGTCAACGTAAGATTTCAATCGACTACGGTAGAAGATAATAATGGTCAGTACTCTGGGGAGGGGAGACGGGGAACACCTTAACGTCAGCATTTTATTTGTCACCGAAATGATCACTTAGTTAGAACTGGCTATACCGGTAGTGTTTCCAAATTCAGATTTCCATCATCCTTGTTCATAAGTTTCATATTAGGCATGTCTTATCCATATTGATTTGATCATCATTATCAGTAGTATAAATATAATCTTTGTCATTTCAATGAATTGCTCACACGTTTGTGCACCAGGAAATATAATAAGGTGTTTTGGTGTAGGCCTATATATTTATTTATTTAGCAGTGTTATATTACGGATAAAGTACGTGAGCAGTGATTTGAAGCTACATAAATATTAGATTAATGGTCATAGTGGTAGTGGCAAAATTGTTATGGTGGTGGTGGTATAATATATTAATAGGCTACATGGCAGCCTTAGAATATTATATAGATCTAGGCTTACTAAAAATTATGCAAAGTATATTCTTGCCAAAATTTATTGCTAGACCATGCTCAGATCAGTTAGTTTAAAATATTAGCCTGCTCGAAAGAGTATATAATTGTATATATCCGATCAGTATAGATAGCTTCCTTCGTGGACATAAAATCGATTTAGAATATATGAAGAAGACACTATGAAGACAATTACTCGGGATAGTCTTACGTGCAGATCGTCTTATGTGAAATAATTGACTTTGTTATATTAAAGAATATGAATCAAAAAGTAGGTAGTGACTGTATCTGTTAGTAACTAGCAGTAAAATTGAGTTGGTTGCACTTTTATTTTATAACTAGCATTGAAAAAGATACATTTTATAACTAGCATTATATTTCCCATTCATCGATTGGAGCTGAGTTTTTAATATGGCCAGTGAGCGTTTTATTAATTAGATTACAAGATGTTTATACGGTGAAAATGAACTCTCCCCCCCCCCCCCTCTCTCTCTTTCTCTCTCTCTCTCTCTCTCTCTCTCTCTCTCTCTCTATATATATATATATATATATAAATATATATATATATAATATATATACATACATATATATACATATATACATGCACGCACACACATATATATATAAATATATACACATATATATACACACATAATATATACATATATATATACACATATATATACATATATATATATATATACATTATGTATATACATATATATGGCTGTGTGCGTATATATTTATATACTATATATATATATACTGTATATAATATATATAATAATATGATTACTATATATGCCTATATATAATTTAATCTATTTATTATGTGACAAGCATTATTGATTGTCAGGCTGTTAGCAACAAGACATCATTATATGTAAATAATTCTTAATCCACAAAAAAATAATTTTGTGGAGTGCCCAATTTTACTTCCTAGACCTTAATATAGCATAAGACGTAGCTTATAATCATAACTTAATGCATTATGACAATAGTAATGTACCACTGCAATCACAATATCGGAAGTGTTTTCTCATAATTCGTTTGTGCTTTCTGCCGACTAAGCCTACTAAAAGCAATGAGTCCTCAGTAAACTTAATTATGCATACAATATTCATAATTCAATACTTATTTCCATTTCGTTCATTAATATAATCGTGTCGGTTCTTAAACCCTGTCCAGATTATCAAATTTTATTTGACAAAAACATGTGACATGCCTATATAACTTATGGTAATGATGACATCACATCATGACCATATATAGCAATAGCATGACTATATATGGGCATACAACAGTATTTTGACAAATAAAATGTGATAGTCTTGACAGGGCTTTATTTTAGAAAAAAAAAATGAATTGCAGTGGCACAGATCCTTGGATAAAATACTTAGTATTTGATATTGCGTGTGTAGAAACTATAATGTGCTATCATGTTAATAAAAAGATCAATATCATTAACAATGAAAATGTCAATCGGACTAATATTAATTTTAAGTTTTCAATTAAATCACCCCAGTCCCGTAGAAATTTTAATGGCCTTATATTTCTTTTTAAATGTTTGACTTCTATATTTGATTGTGAATTAGTTTCTAATTTTTCCCTTCGTGTTCCTGTCCGTATTTTAAGAAATAATGATGTTCTTTACGTTCCTTTAAGTAGAGTCAATATTTTAAAAAACGGGTTTATTAGTAGATTAAGTTCCTCGTATAACAAGTTAGTTCAGGACTATCCGTCTTTAGATTTATTTAACTCCAATCTGCACTTTTCCGTCGTAGCGTTTTAGGCGTGATTAGTTAAAATTAATTTTGTTTGTGTTTCTGTTTCCGTCGTCTCGTCCTTTGTTAACCATACTGTAAGTGGCGGATTTGTGTCCGCTGTTGTTTTGGTGAATAAATAAATTACAAATCAGACAGGAAGGAGTTTACACAAATAGAATGGCCACCCACCACAGTCCCACAACGGTTGGGGCCGCAGGTAAAAACAAAAAATATGATTATGGCACCTCCAGATGGCCGGAAATGGTACTCTCAGATTAAAAGTTAAATACAATTTTTGTCTGTTTTCTCCATTATTTTAAATAATTAAAAAAAAAGCAGGAGGATGGGGTCTCGTGCTGACTGGGTTCCCCGTTGAATCTGCCACTGTTCAATATAACACTTGACATAGCCTATCATTTTGTTTCACAAATCATTAATTCCTAATGTAAAGCAAGACATTTTTTTTTATTCGAAAGATTTTTTTTTACTCAATACAGCTTTTACAACCTATAACACTGCAGTGTACTGTCAATTCTGTAGTTAACCTTCAGAGAACTTCATTTTTAAAGATGGCCTAATAATTATTATATTGTTTTCGTTGAATTAGATGGAGTTTAAATGTGCCTATTAGTTTGAAGGTTTACTGACGTCAATCAACATTTGGTTGCTCAACTCAAAAAGGGAACTTGTAATGTTCGTTAGAAAATGAAAAAAAAAATCTATATTTTATTATAATAATAATAATAATAATAATAATAATAATAATAATAATAATAATAATAATAGGTCAATTTATAAGGCGCAAATAAGGTGTCTAAGCACCAAATAATAATAATAATAATAATAATAATAATAATAATAATAATAATAATAATAATAATAATAATAATAGGTCAATTTATAAGGCGCAAAAAAGTTGTCTAGCACCAAATAATAATAATAAATACAATTTTGTCTGTTTTCTCCATTTTTTACAATAATTTAAAAAAAAGCAGGAGGGTGGGGTCTCGTGCTGACTGGGTTCCTCATTGAATCTGCCACTGTTCAATGTAACACTTGACATAGCCTATCAGTTTGCTTCACAAATCATTAATTCCTAATGTCAACCAAAAGATTTTTTTTTATTTGAAAAGATTTTTTTTTATTCGAAAGATTTTTTTTTACTCAATACAGTTTTTACAACCTATAACAGTGCAGTGT